ATTTTTTGTTTGTTTGTTTGTTGCCCTTTCCACAAACGATTTGCAAATACTTATAACAATGCTTTTAATTTTGGGTTATTTTAAGACAATTATTTTTAAACTTTGTCACTCTTTGTTTCTCAATTTATGTACGTTATAATAAACAATAATCTTGATTGGTTGTAAAGAAAGAAAGAAAATTGGTTTGCCATTTAAATAGCGCAGTGATATATAAGTAAATATATTTGTTTGAAGTGATAAAGGAATATGTAAACTTTTTGACCAAATATGAGTTGAAGTATCAGTACAATAATTATGCTTACGATATATGATATTATTTTACATTAATCAATAACCGAAAGAATAATATATTATTTCTCACAATTGAGTGGATGAGTATAGGGCTTACAAATGATCTGGACATTATTACATTAATTTTTCTTTAATAAAATATTATTAATTTAACATTAACATTTTAATAAATAAATAAATTAATATATTTTTTTTAATTCAACATTTTCATGTAAAATTATTTAAACCTATCAATCTGAAATACATTTTTCCGCATGTTGTTTATTTATTTCATTAAGAATGTTATAATTTTTCTGTTGATGTATTTGAACTCTTATAAATTATTATGTTAATGCAATAAATTTTATTCTATATGAAGAACTTATACATTGTGTTTAAAACAAAAGAAACGAAAGCAAAATGAAGATTTTCAATATACATTATCATTGTGTATTGAGCATAATATTTAACAAAAAATATTTATTCAGTTTTATTTATTCAGAGATTAAGGAGAATGTAATCTATACAATGATGCGTGTTGCGTTCATTGCTGGTGATAGCATTCATTTTTATAGCAGATAAGGAAAAATTTGTTAGCAATTATTGGCTCGTCGACAAAAAATTAAAATTATGAAAAAATGCGTATCCATATATATTAACATTATCTTATTTATTTAAATTAATACTTCGAAGGAGAAACTTAGAGAAAATAATGCTTGTTTTTTATAGTTATCAAAGTCATATATTTGGTTCCTTATTATTTTAAATTTTTTATATAGTATTTTGCTCTTATTTTCTGATCATATTGAGCTGTATAATTATCCCTAATGGAAAAAGTGTGTCAGTAATGCAATCCTTTAACTACCGCCCTTGGTTCAAATAAGGAGTCTCTCAGTAGGCCGACTCCCATGGCTAGGAACCCCATGGTTAGCCTTAAGGGCAAGTGACACTATTGCAAATGCAATTTCGCTCGTGCTGTGTGCCACTTAAGTCCAACACCTTAGTATACACTATTTGAGGCTTATCCAGCTGCGTTTACGTGCACGAGAATGTTTTTGTGAAATCGTTTTATTCATCTTATAGCATTATTGCTCTTCAATATATTTATTATATTATGTCGATATAGCTAAATTACCTAATATCTGATATACTTCTTATTTCTAGTTGCTTTTTTCATACTAACTATATCTGATATAATTTTCTACTATATCAGAATATAGTATATGATTTGTGAGACTGTTGTATTACTATTATGTGCGGTAATTTTTATCAAAAATTGAATATATGCAAACAGAAAAATAATTTGTGCTTTAACTCACTTGTATGAGTATGTGTAATGCGTTGGCTGCGGCATCATCCGCAACCTTTGGCATCATAGCGGCTGATAAAACGCGGTGCAATGTCAGATGCGAAGGTTGACTTGCAGGTTGATAATAATAAAACACCAGCCTAGCTCGCAAAAGACTGTTGGTTTCTTAAGTCTCCGTAGTCCAAAATACATTTATGATTGAATAAGATAAAAGTTTGAACTATATATAAAATTATATATAATATAACTTGAATATTGCAATGATTAAATAAGACTCTTACAATTAGTAAATTTAATATGCTTTAGTCAATGTTCGTTAGAATCTGCTTTATATGTTAGAATTACCCTCCCATGTATGTGCATCTTAAATCATCTGCAGTTCTCCACAGGGCAATCCATAATGTACACGTTCCATGCACGCAATATATATCCGGACAAACCGACTATTGTTGTCCAGTGTACTTCAGGGCTGATGAAATTTAATTGATGGCTTTTTAATAAAAGTATTTTCATCGCACACGTTGAGTTGTATAATCCGTTTTACAAAACCTGGGGCAGTCTTGTGTTAGTGTTCGCGAAGAACTAGTCTAATATTATTCACTGCAAAAGGATGATCTTAACTTTTCCGTTACGATGTTGAAATGAAAGATTTTGGCGAAGACTATGTATCAATTAAATAATTAAAAATTAAACATTTTTAAAAAATAAGTTTTTAATAGCCGGTAGCTGATCATAGGGTCGGCAAATCTTATTATACGACTTGAACTCTCATGATTTGAGATTTTTTTGAAGTTGCACATAATAGTGCTCAGTTGCAAGCAACAATACCAGCGCGGTGCTGTGCGGCAAGAACAAGACCATGTTACTATGACGCAACCGTTACCGCAGCAACATCGCACATCATATACGCGACGCCGCCGCCGTAACCTAGAACCTGCCCCACACACTAACACATTTATGCAGCAATCATAGAGAATTGCACTGCTGGCCAGATGCAGGTTTTAGTTAACGATAGTGCACTTACTCTATATAATTCCCACAACCGCTTCAGTAACTATTGTTAACAATGCTATTATTTTTTTTTTCAAATGCAAATAGATTAAATTGATTTTTATAACAATAAGTATATTTGAAATTATTTAACACTTGTTCAGTTTAATTTATAACCATATTTATAGTTACTACAAATATAGTTTCAATGTAATGATTACCTTAAATGGTTTACCAATATATCATTTTAAGAATGATAACACTGATAGATATAAGATCAGAGTAATGCTATATTATCCACCTGCTCTTTACAGCCTTACCTCAGTAATATGCTAGAAAGCATATCAATAAATAACTTTTTTTAAAACAAGAATATGGGTTGTATGTTGACTGTCAAATATTTTGTTCTTCAAACCGACAATACTTACAACAATATATCACTATTGTTCAATCAATGTTCTATAATACAATTTGACTATACCTGATGCATTTGGACCGTTGATACGATAACTGTTTCTTGGCTTCGTATTTGTAAGAATACGATGTTGTGCTATACTCTTTTATCATAATATGCAGACGTGCATGCACATATAATATAGGCTATATTATATGTGCATGCACGTCTGCATATTATGATAAAAGAGTATAGCACAACATCGTATTCTAGCTAACAATACTACCGGCTTCGTAGAATGCTCTTCGTTTTATTTTATCTTTGCCATCGATACTGTTTACAAAAAAAAAAAATATTTTGGGAACAAAAATATAGTAATATAATATTGGCTTAGATGTCTACAGAAATCAGCTTCATTACAACTTCATTAATTTGAAATCAGATAAAAATCCCTTGATTTGTACACGAATTCGTAGACAGACCGAGACGTTTCGTACCACTTTTTCCTATTTTTCTCATAATTCGGTTTGATTACGCTCGAGGGTTCCCGCAGTGCAGATTTTCTTGCTGTGACTACATTATGTTAGTAACATATCAGCAAGTCTATACGTTGGAACTTTGAAAAGAATTATCTTAATTAATATATGAATATGATGAAAAATCGCATAATTTATAAAACTATATATTTTATATCTTCTATATATATAAAAATATGTCGGGTTTTCTTTCCTGACGAAATAACTCCAGAACGCACCGATTTCGACAATTTTGCATTCTTTGGAAAGGTCTCGGGCTCCGCAAGGTTTATAGCTAAGAAAAATAGTGGTGCATGGCATCGTGCCCTAATGCAAATTGTTGGAACTTCACGCACCGTAATTAAAAATTCGAGTAATAAAACATAATTAATAATTATTTTAAATAATTGCAAATAGATTATCTTCTATATATATATAAAAATAAGTCGGGTTTTCCTTCCTGATCAAATTTTTCCTTTTCAAATATAAAACAAACAAAAATTTTCTTCATCTTTCTCGCGAAACCATCACGAATTTAGGTGGCGAAACGGAGTTCGTCGGGTTTGCTAGTTAATTTATAAAACTGGTTTATATTTTATTTTAGTACAATTATATTTAATTATTATATTTTAACCTAATTACTTCTAATCATTATAAAAATATTTTCAAAGCGAATGCATTCATAAGAATTATGAAAATAGTAATAAATTATAATTAGAATTAGCACGGATCATAGAATCGTTTTTAGTCTAAGTTTTTATCAAAGCTGGACATTTTTGTGCGTCGTACAGAATCATGTGCGTTTGTTGAGGTAAAATTGTCAATTACGATACGTTCCAAATAGCGACATTAAAATCATTCTTTTATAGTTTCTTCTACGTGAATAATGAACATTAGAAATCTTGTCCTTGATGTACCGTCTCACAATGGGATGTATAAAATGATTATTATTAGAATTACATAACAATTCAAGCTAGCTGGATCCCAACCGCTGAAGAATAAGGCCCTTGGTTAATTTCATTATTTATATTTGCAACTTTTTTCATGTACTGCTCATACACATTGGTGACCTATTTAAAAAAAATCTAATTATTATCGAGAATTGAGAAATAAATTTTTATTTTATGTAGTACGTTGATGTATAGCAAAATGTATTTAATATGTAACTAAAAATCTCGTTTTAGTAAACTAATATTCATTAAAATTAATGCAACTGATTTTATTTCGAGAAAGAATTATTTTCATTCGCTTATCTACTATTTCTTATCATATCTTTGTGTTAACCTGTATACTTATAAGATTGTTATCTTAGTTTATTTGATATGAGGAAGATTGGTTATTTTAACTTATTTTGATATTTTTGATCAATATTTCTCATGATAAGTCACAATACTAAATTTGTTGCGACATATTAAATACATATATTATTTATTAAATTGATTATTAAGTAATTAACATATTAGACATTATTTATATTTTTTGCAATTTGTTTTTAAATAAATTAATAAAAATATATTTCTAGGCTCGGCCCGTGTGAGCTGTCGCTGGACTGGACTCTGTCGGGGAAAATGAGCGGCGTGAGTCCGCTGCCGCCACACAACAAGAAAATACGACGCAAGACAGATGCTAAACCTCAATCACAAATGTATGCAATAAATTATTACCGATTTATTGAAAATATCGTTATTTTTTCTGAAGAGATGTTGGTTGTTTTACGTATAAACTATTCGAAATTGATATTTGTATTTTGTTGTCAATGTGTTCAATGATTTGGCATTTTTGCAATAGTATCGCGGATCGCTTGTATAATGTGATTATTGATTGGATCGTCATTTAGCATTGTAATGCCACGTCTTTTTATAGAGTCATATATCTTAGAATGTTGATTCGTTGGCTAAAAACAGTCATTACGTCATTACGCCTGAAAAATTGAATAACTTTCACTTTTTCGTATATTTTTTGTTCCGTTATGCTTGAGACACCATACGTCTCGAAACTAAAGTGAAATTTCGTTTACTAAAACAATAAAATCCTGCGTTAAGTGTTCGTATTTTTATTTATGAAAAGGTAGAGTCACATTTGTTTCATTTTTTACAATAACTTATTTTTATTCATAATTTTTTGGATAATTTTCTATCTTAATATTAATATAATTAATTTAAGATTCAAACATTAAAAATGAATTAATATAGACAAAACTAGTATGAATCATTAGTAATGGTTTCATATAGAAACCAAGTGGGATTAAGCCCAGAATTATGCTATGTTAAAATTTATATGTATTTTTGTAGAAAATATTATTTATATTAGCATTATTTATATAATAAATTTCAGAAATAAGAATAACAATGAGAAACGACGTAGAGAACTCGGCAACGAGTACATGGAACAGCTGGGGGATCTCCTACAGATCAATCTGAAGGAGATGTCCTCATGCAAACCGGATAAAGCAGCTATATTAAAAGAAGCTAGAGATACTGTAAGTATGACTATTTAATGTTCGCACTTGTAACAATGAATAATAACAGAAAATTGAACATTTCCATCTTCATTTTTAAACGGAATTATTTATGCAATTATTAGCGATGAAAATATTTTATGTCATTATCATGATCTTGTAGATCCGCAACATACTCGCTAAGCAGAACAACTGTTCTGTGTGCCCTATCGGCTGTGTGGACTCTGCATGCAGTCAACATCCCGTTCAACAAGGGGAAGTTTCTTCAACTGAAACCCAGGCCGTACTAGGCGCAGGCCACGTCGGAGCGCGCAATACTGAAATTGCCTCTGTTATCGAGGTATAATGACTTACACATTGTTAAATTACATTGTTCTATAACGGTTTGTAGTTGACCGAATGTGTAGTCAAAACACAGTTTAAATCATTATCATTTTTACGCAGTCGCTTCACCATTATACTGCCACGCTCGGGCTGGTTGTGCTTCAAATCAGTGCGGAGGGTCGCATCGAATGTGTAACCGAAAACATCTCCGACTTGATCCGCTGGACTCGCGCCGAACTCCAACACAAGAGCATTTACGATTACCTACATGAGAATGACCATGACAAATTACAACCGATATTGTGTAACTTATCAGCAGCAACAACACAATCAACGCTGTGGACGCATCAGTCAGCGCTAACAGACGGATCAACTAACCAGCAACAACAATCGTTGCAACAACAGCATTCGTTTAAGCCAAGGGCTATCCGCTCACGACTTTGGATCAAACCGGCAAGTTTTACCATACTCATATATTGCAATATTAACGAATTTAGAAAACTTTTTTAACTAATAAATATTAAACAGGCATCGACCGGTGATGCAATGGAAGATCAGCATTCACGTTCGACCTACGAAGACGTGTTAATCACAGCTAGTCTGATCAAGACCGATACGGACGAAAACACAGGAACTGTAGGCACACCTTCAATGTTGTGCGTTATCCGGAGGCCGGACGACGAAAACAAACATCACGTTGCCGATAATACCCTAATGCCCCATACGTCCGAACATGTCACACTCAAATTGGATTTGTCCGGGAAAATAATCGGTTAGTAGTTTTCTTTAATGTTCCATATTATTATGCAATATTTTTAACATTATTTTTGTTATTTTGATAAATGTTATATTGTATTATATGCCTGCAATATGACTAATTAAAATTTAGTTTTGATTTATCATTTGCAATTCTAGATACAGATTTTGCGGACCAAAACTTAAGAAATTCTTTATCTAAAGATGTGATAGGAAGATCTGTTCAAGAAATGTGTCACCCACAAGACGTTTATCAAATCAATAGTCATTTAAAAGATATTATGCAATCTTCAAATAATATGGCTCAATCACAACCTTATAGGTTGAAAGTAGGAACAGGGCCTGATGTTTATGTGCATGTTAAAGCGCAATCGCGATTGTTTAGATCGAATCCTACTACGAAAGACGGAGATTTCATTATGGTTACGCACACACTTCTATCGTAAGTTCAAATATAACGCTCGCTTTTTTTTAAATTTCTTTTTAATTTCAATATGAAATTTGTCTGCGAGAAATGTTATTTATATTTAAATTTCAGAGAAAACGAGATAGCAACACTAGAAGCAACAGGTAGTTTGATAACCCCATTGGCAGGTGGCAGTCACCATAACAATAATAATATTAATAATCATAGTGGTTTGGGTGGCCCACTTTTAGCCGCCACAGTAAACGGAACTCGAAATGGAGTCAGCTCGTCTTATGATGGAACAGGTGACACATAATGACTAAAATAGTTTTTTTAAAGAATGGACAAAACCTTAAATGAGCACTTATAATGTTTCAGAAGACGTATTTTTCAATTCAGACCTGAACGACTTTTTCCCGCACTCAACATGGCCCGAAATGGACCCCGTACCTACCTGGGACACGCGGCCCGATTCTCGTCAAAGTGTGACGCCTGTATCAACACCTACCCCTAGTGTTCCTGGATATAGTCCTGCAGCTGCACCCATATGTCCGTCGCCTCTGCACGCATACTCTGCTGGTGTCGCATCTCCGGTTACACATAACAAATCGTTTTCTAGTGGTAGCAGTTCGCAGCCAGGCGGTCATTCAAGCCCGTCTCCATTGTCTGCCCATTTTTCAACATCTGCAGCGACAGTTGGACATTCTAGTCCTTCACCACTGTCGAGTCATTTTAATCAAAATACGACAAGTCCTTCTCCAGCGGCCCAGAATCCTTCCACACCATCTGCACATCAATTTTCGAACGCGTTTTCTTTTGGTCAATGCGAATCTCCTTTTGGTATAGATCCACCACCGTCAGCTGACACTAAACCCGAAATAACTCCTGAAGTTAACAATCACGATTCTGAAAGACTTAGAAACCTATTAACCAATAAGAGATCACAATTGACAAATAATAACAGTAATACAAGCAGTAACATGATGCAAAAACACCTGTCAAATCAAAATCAACAAAAGTCTATGATGCATCAATCAAATAAGGATGGAAGCGATTTGCCGAGAAATTCTATGGATAAATCTGGTCATGAGAGTCAGGAGATCAAAAATAATAATCGAATACTAAAAGGATTGCTTAATCAAGAAGATGAAGAAGATAAATGTGATAACTCTTTACAGCAACCCCTTTTACCACCTCCAAGACCGAGGGCGCAGCAAACACAGGATAATAAGAGTGGAAACCACATGTTATTAAGGGTGAGTATCTTATATCAAGTATTAGTTCTAAATATTTATTCTTAAAAGAACAAACGTTGCTCATTATTTATTGAATTATGTTGTTTACATTTTATCTTTCAGTTATTAAATGAGAAAAGTGATGATGATGATCCAGATACTAAAGTTAATAGGAATAATAGTGAATTACGAACACAACTTCTTAAACAGGTATATGCTACTATATAAATACATTCTTATTTATAAATGGGTATTATAGGAAAATTTTTAATTTTGCTTTTTACTTTTATAGAATCATGATGATTCAAGTAAAAATACTAGTGATAATGATGAAGTTCTTAGTATTCTGGGTCTGCAGGGTCCTGCCAATGACAATTTTTCAAGACCACGGAAAAGACATTCGACTGATCCTGATGAACATGCAGTCACTAAGCGATCAACAGATTCACAAGTATGTTAATTTGTTAAGTATATGCATATATAAATATTTATTTATATGTATATATTAAAACAAATGTGTTTCAATGTTATAGGTTACGTCAACAGGTCGAAGCAAATTATGGGAAAATAATAAAATGTTAGCTTCGTTATTAGCTAATCCGCCTTCGGCTCCTACAAAACCCCTACCGAATCCTAATCCGGTTTTATCGAGGCCGTTTCCTCCGGATTCAGGACCGTCGAAAATCAATGCCAGGTTGAGTACGGCTTCACTTCCGCAACCAGCGGTACCCGTATCTCAGCAGCAGCAACAACAAAACCAAAGTCAGCATGGAAGCAATATGAGTGCGCAGCAACAACAACAACAGAATCAGTCGCGGCAAACGCATATGCAAAGGCATGGGGGATACTTGAATCAGGCGAGTAAAAAAATAAAATTGAGGATTAACTTTATATGCAATTTATTATAAGTTTTATTAATTTCATATTTTTTACAGATGTTGAGCAACAGTAGTAATGTCGATAACAATAACCAAATAAATCAACAACAAAATATGGTCAACAAAATGCAACAAAGGCAACAACAGCAACAGCAAGTACAGTTTCATAATAATGAAGTTCCGCAATATGCAAGTCCGGCTGCAAATACAGGACCCGATTTCAGGTATATTTTGTTTCAAAAACAATAATGAACAGTAAAAGTATGAATACTCAAATTTATAATCTTTTTAATTAGGTCTACTGGAGCTGAAACCTATGACTCATTATCTGATATTTTAGAAGTATTGGATAGTCAAAATGAAACATCATCTTTTCTTACAAGTCTTATAGGATCAACAGGTAATTAAATTCACTTACATGTTTTAACAGAAATTAAGTTATTATTTTTTGGTTTATTATTTTTTAAGCTACGTAATAATCGTTATAATACCATATTCATAAATTTTAATTAAAAAATTTTAGGTGCCACGAATGTCAATAATCTAATGGGTCCCAGGCCGAATGTGAGCTTAGTGGATGGCGGAGGGGGTGGTTTGCACAACGCACAGCAGGCGATAAGTGAGATTCAGAAAAGTCTTATGCAATGTGAAACTGATGTGAATCATGTAGGATCACCAACAGTTTTACCTAATACTCCACCTGCATATCCAACAAATCAACCACAAATGGTATGGTACTTTTTTCATAATCATCTTGTTTTAGTATCATGTAAACATGTTTTTATTGATAGGTATAGTAATTTAATTTTTTCAAAGTTTTGTTAAATTAAATTTGATTTTTCAGAATCAAAGCCAAACCAATTATTTACCACCGCCTGGTTACCCAGCCAGGACTGGACGATATCCAGCGCGATCTCCAGCTTATTCACAAAATTCCCAGCAATTTGCAATGCAGGTAGTTATTTCATTTGCTAATTATTTCATTCATTCATGATCATTTTAATTTATATTTGATCTATAACTTTATTTAGATTACAATATAATCTTTACACATTATTCTTTTCAGCGACAAAAAATGTTTAGTAACTTGCAACAAAATCATTTGCAAAGGTTGTTGCATCAACAAAAGCAGCAGCAAATTGTGGTTCCCAGTAGCGCGACTGCTTCCCAGGATCCAATGCAAATTCCAGGTGGAATTGATTCTTTATTGAATAATACAGCTCCTCCTAATGTTACATTAACGAGGTAATAATATAAAACTAATGGATTTGAGAGTGATATGAAACTTGATTTTGAAGATTTACAATGAATGCTTTGTATTGAATAGGTCATCTGGAGTTCAACAAGAACCTCAATTATCACCTGGCTTTACTAGTGGCATGATATCTCCAGCCTCACAACTTTCACCAGGACAAAGGGTTATGCAATCTGGACCATTTAGTCCTCATACCTCACAATCCCAAGGTAAAGTTTATTTATCTAAATCTAATTTTTAAACTATAATGAACTATTCAAAGCATAAAATATACTAAAATTAAAATAATTTCTATAAGGCGTTTGATTTATTTGCAGGTTTTTCTAGCCAGGGGATTGTACAACAAGGAGCAACACATTCTACTCCTGCTTTTTGTAATACAACTTCTCAACAACAATGGTCTCAAGGATCTCAGGCACGGTTGTCAATGCAACAACAAAATCCTATGCTCAATGCACAACTTAATGTAAGTTTAACTTTAATTTTTTTTTATGTATGATCGTGTAATCATCGTGTAATCATATACAAAAGAAACTGTGTACGTATTATAAAGACTTTTTTATACCAATTACGTAAAAATAACAAAAATTCTTCAGGCTGGCGGTGGCACGGCTAATGCGGGCGGATATCAAGCAGCCGCCCGACAGCAGTTTGGAGCCCGTGGTCGGCTTCCATCACCTGTAAGTGCAGCGGCTGTTAACTCTCGGCAGAGCCCATTTCCTACGATGGAGGCGAGTTTTGCATCACCGTCAGAGAGCCCAACAGCTGCCACATCTTCAGTAGCAACAGTTACTCAACATCAGAATGCCGTTTACCCAGGGCAAAATCACAGTAATCCAGCTACCGCTTACCAAAATGCTAATCAGATTAGACTGCAGAGGCAGGTCAGCGCGCCGATGGCAACGCAACATTTGCCAGGTCAGTTGTAGTATTTGTTGTGGTAGAGGCAACTTTTAATACTATAGAATTTTCTGATTTTTAAATAACTTATATCCTAAATAAAAACTATATAATTTTGAGTTTGATATATCAAGCACAGGAATTGTTATTTTGAAAAATATAATATGTTAAGCGAATTTGAGGAAAGGAAAACCACTTACAGATTTTTTTCTGTTAATCTATATTATATCTGATGTTTCGATATTTTGGCATGGCAGTTTGATTAATCAGGATTCTTATCTCATCCTAATTTTGTTTCTACAAATAATAATCATTTATTATGCATTTGGAGAATTAGAAAAAAATGCTTCTTAGAAATTCTTTAATGAATATTATGTATTGTGATAAGCTTACGATTTTAAGAATGATCATATTCTATGCCTGGATGAGTAGTATTAAAAAGTAGAAGTAATAGATGATACAAATTTTACTTACATGATATGTTTCTTATATTTTATTCAAATAGTGAATGACTAGCAATTTATTTAAGTAGAGTTGCATAACCTAATTACGATTAGGTATAAGAAAATGTTCATATTCAGTATGGCACAAATTGGAACTTGGTTGAGACAATCGTTTTACATTCCAACAATTATTTTGCTCTAATGTGTCCAATACTAATATGCACAAAATATATAAAAAGTATAATGATATTATTGCATTTTATGAAAAAATGCAGTGTTTTAATATGATAAATCATGATAACTCAGACTAATATTTAGCTGATTTACTGTGTTTTTATTAATAGTTTATAATATATTGATATTTATAGAATGCAATAGTATCCACATTTATGTATATAAATACCTATTAATTAGTTAATAATTGTTTGTAAGTGGTAAGCATTTCGAGTAATGTCTTGAAAGGGTAATTATTTTCACTAGTATTTGAATTGTAAAGTTAAACATAAGTAATCATAAGAAAAAGCTAAATCATATCAATAGAGGTAAAAATGAAGATAAAGCTTTTAATATATATATGATTATTGTATACAATGACACAGGTGGCGTGGGCTCGCCACGTTCGTACGGAACACAACACGATAATTATCCACCAAATTCGCCTCTGGCCTACGGGCCCCAGGATGGCCTTACGTACTATGACGCCATGGCGCGACAACGACAGCAACAATCTATGCCCAATAATGGTACTAAATTTGAAACCAGAAAAATATGAATCACAAGCAAAATATATCACTACTTTTTGTTTTGGATCGTTTCTGTTGGAGACGAGTGCGCACTTGCTATCTTTGATTTCATTCATTTCTTTGACGTTACATTCACTGTTAATTTGTTTTTTTATTAGTACATCATCACACTTTTTGATTTGTTTATTATGGTTTCATATAGATTTCAGCAAAGTTCGCACTCGTTCTACTATACTTTTCGGGAAGTGTAATTGTTATTTTAATTTTTTTCGTTTGTCTATTTTTTCATCTTTTCTTGAGTTTTGTGTCTCATCGTCTCATCTAAATCTCTAAACCTATCATTATATGTACTGCGTCATCTTGCACCTAAATGTCAACTCATATATGTAAAATAATTGTGAGGCCTGATTGCCGGTTATAATTTTTCCTCATTATTTTTATTTTTTTTATATTGAAAATATTTTCAATATGCATTAAAATCGTTTTCTTATATCATCTACAATTATTGTGACTAATTCTAACATAAATCATCTGTGATGTTCATTGTTTCATTGTGTTTTTAACAAATAAAAACGCACTTCTAGCTATTGTAAAGCCAAATAATAGGGTATTTATGAAAAACCATGTACTACTTAATATGTTATATCAATCATCTGTGAGTTTAATATTTTATTGTTGATATGGTTTTAATTTATTATTTTAATTTATTACATTAAAAGCATCAGCTTTGTAAAAATATTTTTGCGCCTGAGATATTTCATACTCTTATAACAATGATTATTCAACTTCTAAAATTAATATTCAAGGAATGAAGAATGTTATTACCGAATTGCAAAACATATGCTGGTTTTATGCGCTTTCTGGTGGTTCTAATCAAATTTAAAAAGTGTATATCTGCTGTAAATTTTACACACGATGCCGATTTTTAAAATGTTTGTGATAACTGTTTTTTAAATATAAAATTTGTAGGAGGGTTATTAATTATAGCATGCTTAAACTGATGTCTCACTACATGAACTAGTCGGATTATGTTTTTAATATCATACCCTAAATAAATTAATTTAATGAATAAACAGCAAAATGGATTAAATTAGACCAATTTTGGTTAGTATACTTTAATCTATATTAGTAACTATTATGTTTGTGTTTATTTAGTGCACGTCAATGTATTTCTGTTTATTATATGTATGCTCATGTAATTTATGTAAATGTTTCTGTAGGTTAAGATTTGTATTTAATATTTTTTCATATTTTTTTGTTCATTTAATATGATATAATTCAAGATAATGTTTAAAAATATTGGCTTTACTGATTTATATGTAAAATACTTTATATATTTAAATACGAAATTGGAATGGTTTTCATTCAGTTTAAGTTTAGAAAAAGAAGTTGCGTGACACAAGATTAAAGATTTATAAATTAAAACGAATTATTTTGAAAAGAATTAACTTCTTGAATATATTTCTATAGAACCAAATGGTTCGTAAAATTACAATCGACATTATGTTAAAAATAATTTAAAAAAAAATCAGCTTTGTGGATGCTCTAGAACTTTGTCAATAATTTTCTTTTGACTTTTTTTTGGAAAATTAATTAGAAGTTAAACAGTATTGTTAGTTAAAGTTGAACTTTATTCTTGTACGCAATGTTAACTTATACCTTCACTACAGATTCTAATTAATATTGAATTTACTTGTTTGATAATGTTCTTTATCATTCTTAAATTACTTCAAAATCTTATATTCAATAATAAATTATTTTTTAGGGGGTAATAATGGCATGAACACAACTTCGGAATATGTTCGACAAGAGTTGCGAGCAGTGGTCGGGGCGCGGACAGGTGGTAGGCCAGGTTCGCAGGGTTCCAGTCAACATCAACAAGTCCAGCAGCAACAACAACAAATGGCCATGAGTCCCATGGGGATTGGTCAAATGAACCCCATGGGACTCACGAATCTGAATACAGGTCAGATGGGTGGAATGATGCAGTCATCGATCATGCAATCTCCGTCAGATTTGGACGCGTTAGGTCTAGGCTTCGATACCCACGGTATGTTTCCAATACTTCTTAATTTGTATATTGTCTGTTGTTGTTTTCATATATTTTCTATTTCTCATATATTGCTGGCACCAATTAATAATATTTGAATTAAATTGGATGCTTTAACAAAATGTGATTCAGCTGGCAATATTATAGAAGTATCGAATATATGATTATTTAATTGCAGTTTTTCATTGCTATGCTCCGGGTTGTTTGACTGTATATATATAAATAAATGTAAATGGACGCTGATTCTCAAATGTAATTGGTAATCATTGCATGTTTAATTCAGAGCTTCCTTGCAAGTAAAATTGAAAGTTTTATGTGCACTTTAAAATGTTATAACATTGCAACAATTAATATATCGCTCTAATTATAATGATGGAATAAAATCTTCGAATTAGTTTCACGTTTTCTTTAATAGCTGCACAAAATTAAACATCTTATTACAAAATGTTATTCATATTGAATGAATTTGTGTAAATATTGAACGTTGTAAACATCGGTTTATATTTTTTTTTCTGCGATTGTTGTAAAATTACTAATGGACATGAAAACTATGAAGTTAAATATTATATTAAAATTAAGTATTTCTGAACAACATTTGAGAATCAATGTAAGTGTATATGAAACAAAATGTTGCTAAGATCGCATTGCTCCTTTTAATAATGGGGATATTATAATAATTGCACTTAATATAAATGCACCATCATTTATGAGATTTCAAAAATACACATAATATTTAAATAATTCAATTACATGTTTGGTAGGAAAAGGGGTGTACATTGTGTGTTACTAACCATTGGGATTAGATTTGTAAATTTGCAATTTAATTGCCACAACCAAAACTTAATTTTCATTATATTGAATATAATTGTCTGCTCAAGACAATGTAATCTATTTCAGTTGAAATAATTTTACAGCTTTACAGCTCAAATTTATAATATTAGCCCGTTTTTGAAGATTTGAAATTGTTTACCAGATATGATGGTATTGATGAAGCTGATTCTGATTTTTGAATATAATTACATTTATGACATCAACTCAATCTATTACGAAATAGATTTGTTACCCTTGAACAGTGATTCCATACAAATTTGAATTTGAAGAGAAATCAAAGTTATATAAATAACATCGTTAGTAATTAAAAATGCCTAATTCGTGAAAGAACAGAGTTGGTAGCATCGCATTTTTTATATTATTTTAAAAGGATGCAAAAAATTAACAAGTAGATTTTAAATCGTATTGAAGTGTTTTTATAGGAAGTAATGTTTGTAATGTAACCGCGGTTTTTGGGTTGTGTTATTTGTCAGGTGCCGACGGCAAGCTGTGGTCGCCCGACTTGTCTGACGCGCCAGCCACCTCGCCACCTCTGAGGGTAAGCGCGCAACGTAATTGAAAAACAAGTTTAAATAGTATAATCAATATATGATTTTAAAGCAAGTATTTTGATGAACAAGATTGAGCATTGTGGCTTCAGATATTTGTCGAATTATTTCTTAAAAATCTTAAGGCGCTAAGCATTCGAATATTTTAATTTTATATATTTAATTTATAATTTATTCGAATAGTGTAATCGCTCACTAAAAGTCAAATTTTTCTCTAAGAATTTAGCTGATTGTGTAAACATAATTATAATTAGGCGTAATTCTAATAGTATTTCTTAATATTAATCTGTTGTGAATATTTTTCAATCTTGATTGAAACTACTGATTTTGCCAATGAATATATTGTAGTTGGATATATTGTTATAAATTTACTCGGATGCATATATCGTCATTCATAACTTCGAAGAAATATTCTTGGTCACATGCAAATCTTGTATATTTGAATAGTTTATTACGTATTATTGATATCGATTATTTTCTGATAGTAGTATTTTGCCAAACGTATAATGAGTACAATCTTATTTGATTATCTTTATTTTTGGAATATTTCTGCCTTTTATTTTGAATATTTTTATTGCACGCTGTATGAATTTATTGTTGGTATATTGTGTTTGTACGTGGTAATTGTTATTAGCATATAGTGGTATGGTATATAATATATATTGCATGTTCTGTTTTTATTTATATATTATATTTGATACTGTTATATTACCCAGAATATAAAATGTATTATTATGGAATTGTATTGCCACTACATTTTCAGAGAATTACGTTTTACATTTAAATTTGTACATGATTGCAAAAATATGCACTTGCATCTATACTTTATTCATTTATAATATAAAGCAAATATATTTAGACAAATCATTATCAAAATATTTCCTATTTGTTTAAACATTTATCGAATTCAGTTCATGGCATTTTATAAACAATCCTAGGTGATCAAAATATTAGTGAATATTTTTGACATGTCTATCTATGTATTTTCAATTTCCTCATGTTATAGCGCATATAATATAGTAATAATATTATCCAACATGTTTTCTGACTTTTATATTTGACCAATCGGTTTTATCATAATTTTTGTGAATTGTGTGTTCATTCATAAGATTGATGATCTTCAAGAAGTTCATTTATGAGTTTTGATCACAATCAATGTTCGTAGAATGATTAAGCTCTCATTGGTTTTGAAAAAGAGATCAAATATTTATATGCACTTGCATCTATACGTTATTCATTTAACATATAAAGCAAGTATTTAGACAAATCTTTATCAAAATATTTCTTAATTGATAAGACATTCATCGAATTGAGTTCATGGCATATTATAAACGATCCTATGTGATCAAAATATTAGTGAATGTTTTTGACATGTCCATCTTTGTTATGCATTTTCAATTTTATTATGTTATAGCGCATATAATATAATAATAATATTATCCAGGACGTTTCCTGACTTTTATATTTGTCCAATCGGTTTAATCATAATATTTTCAATTCATAAGATCTTCAAGAAGTTCATTTATGAGTTTGGATCACAATCAATGTTCGCAGGATGATTTAGCTCTCTTTGGCTTTGAAAAAGACATCAAATGCTTATAAAGTTGAAATGAGAAAAAACTTCGCATACAATCATTAGAATTTTGCTCAAAAGCTACTGTTAGAATTCATATAAATTTATATTAAACAATTATATAGTTCTTGCTTATTTTAACATTGCATATTTGTTATTAACATCTGCTTTAAGCTTTTATAAAAGTGAAAGCCGTAATAATATCACAGCATATACTAACATATTACTAAATGTACACAGGCTATAAATTTTGACATTTTTATGGTATATTTTTTTTGAGGACCGTTGGAATATTTTTTAGCTTACAATTTATGCAATATGCATATAAATTTCATGTTAAAATTTTTACAAAGGACTAGGATTGTTTAAACTAAATGTAAGATTAGATATTTTTGTTTCAGAGTGGAGTTAGAATTTTTGATCTTCTCATTCAATATGTAATTTGTACGTGAAGTTTGAAGTTATGTTTTGTATTTAAATCTTGACGTATTTTACTTATACATATAAATTTGTTTATTAGTTTTAAAAATAAGCTAATTCGTAGTGTAATGATATTAAAGTAGTTAAGTTTTGTAATCAGTTTAGTAGAATGATAAAATTTTTCGTTTCGTGAGTTTGTTTCGTAACAACAGCGATCTTGTCTTTTCTACACGCTGTTGTCGGTTTCGAATTAATTTTAATTTATAGATATTTTGAGTATGAGATTATGTTTTCTAAAGAAATTTAACCTGGTGTAACGATGGATTGCTATCTTATGCTTCTTTATTCTTGTAGAATAATAACATTTACAATAAATCTTAGCAGGAAGTTAATTATCGAATTACTAATGAATGGATTTTGCAGACTACTACGGAGGAGGGGGCGCAAACCGGTGACCAGAAGGAGTCGTCACTTTTACAGAAATTACTTTCTGAGTGAAGTAAAAGCGGCCCCTGACCTGTATCGGCGCACTGTTATATGATGTAACAGTTGTCGCCGTTTCGTGCTGTTGTTATTCGCGTCACCGTTCCACGGGCCCGCACACTTTTGGGACTAGTAATTGTTTATTGTTGTTATCTTCAAACATTGTTGTGTGTTTTTCTGATTATACTTTGTTTTTGTGACGGGATATTTGTATTGGTTACAAAAAACAACTAAATGTGAGTCCGGACAGGGTTTGGTGCGGTGCGCGATCTTTGTTTAAAATGTGATATGTGAATGAAACTGAAGAAAAAAAAATTAAAAAAAAAATGTAAAGCAAAAAATAAAAAGGAATAATATTTGTACAGAGATAAAATGGCTGGTGCTAAGTTACAAAACTATTGAAGTATGGATTTAAAATTATTATTAGAGATATATTTATATAGATTTTAGTCTTAGGGTATGTAATGTTTGTATGCACGTATATGTATATATGTGTAAAAAATGATGTTCTTTATTGAAGTTTATGCATGTATGTATATATGTCTATACATTTATATAATGAGGAAAAATACTACAACACAAAAAAATTATTGAGAGTTATACTTAGAAATAATCTACATAGGTACCTCAGTGTTTATAAGACAAAAGTAAGTGGTTGGGTTAGAAAGTCGAGGCTTGTGGAACTACGTGGGGTTATTTCAAAATAAATATTTTCAATATATGTGTCGGGGTCCAAGTATACTCCGTTGTAAATGTATAAATAAAACAGGCCGACCCAACTTAAGAATTTTCTGGAAATAGATATTTAAACATTAGTTGACAAAACACGTTTTACTGAAATCAGAGTACATAACTTCAAGTGCATTAATATCGCTTATTCTACTTCAAAACAAAGTATTTTAAATATAATACAAAATAGATCACATTTAATAAATATACATAGTATTTTAAAATAAAACAAATATAAAATATATTCAATATTTACTTAACGATAATAATAATGAATACTAAATATAACTATTCGCGTTTCTCAATAGCTTCGTTTTTAAAAAACACTGCCACTTTTATTTTTATTTGAGTTGTCACTCAAAAGTTTGGTAAAAATATTGTAATACTTTGTCCTTTTCCTTCATTCATTCAATATTGAGGTAACTGACTAATAACAGAGGCTTTTCATACTTAATACTTAAGGATTGTATGCATTTTGCAAATAGTAGTTTTGTGATTTACACTTTTTCCTATTTCTAAGGATCTCTTGGCAATTTTGACGTATGCCCTCCATCAAACAAGCCACACTTTCTTGATAACAGTGATTTTTTCAGTAGTTTTCTTATAAAATTAATTTTTTATACGTAGGCTTAATTAAAAGTTTTATAGATAATATTACGATTAAAAATATTAATACTACGAGGGCGGGAATATTTATGTAAGATAGTTTTTGAAGATATTTTGGAGACTCATTTTGGCATTTGATTATAAATTCTTTGTATATTGATTAATATTTTATTTCAATCTTTTTAAATATTTTATATGATCCTGTTATGAGAAGTTATACCACACTTTGTTAATCAAAACATAAAAATCACTATTTTTATACAAAAAATTTAATACATTGAATATATTATTTTAGATTTTGATCAGGCACATAAAAATAGAAATGGAAATTGTCTGATATTCTGTATGATTAAAAGTCGGTGAATGTTAGTCTCAAGTAAACTTATATTGGCTCAAATATTAAGAGATGGTATGCAAATTGCATAATGACATTAGTTTTATGCAAGGATCACGGTTTCATAAGCAAGTTCTTGACTTTCAAGAAATGCGATTTTATAAAATTGTAGAACTGATATTTCTTTACTTGATCTTGATATCCATCCCTTATCCTGTTAATATCTCGTATTTATGAGATATTTGTTTTGTGGTGATGCAAATTCATATAATAACTTTATTGGTATAATATGGGTGATTTTGATCAATTTCCCAAGTTTCCAAAGATTTTCAAAACAGCGCAGCATTTAATGTGTTTTCAGAACACGTTTGAAAAGAGGTTGTGTATAATGACTTGCGCTATTTGGGAATGGCAGGTGATTGGCCACTTGGATTATTGTATAAATCAACGAACAAAAAATGTGATAAATTAACAATAGATTGATGGAATTCTTTATTTAATTGTATTGTACTTATGATTTGATTATTTTATTAATATTATTATTTATATAGCAGAAAGTATATATGGCATAGAAAATTTTGTGATTTTGTTAATAGCAAATATATTAAGGAAACCAAGAAGAATAATAGCATACAAGATATGCATGTTTTGAGCAATAACATTCTCTACATCAAATTTTAAGATTACATAGATTAAATTTAGAAAAATTATGTTTCAAAATTGATTGAATTTTGTTTACTACATGTACCGTTTAAAAAAAAATAGATCCTCAGGCAAAAATTTTCAATCCTATGGTCAGTCACCTGAGCCAGAATTGGCATCGCGTCCAGCGGCTGTGTTAGACATAAATAATAAGAGTATGTAAATGATATAATATTTAGAATTTTTGGCATATTAGTGCATAATTTTAAGGTAGAAAAATCTACATAAATATATATTGGTAAGTGCTAAATATAATTATTGCGTTCCGTAGGGTTTAATATTTAAGAGTATATTAACATATTATGGTACATACAATCGTGAAGATATAATTTAGATTGTATGTATGATGAACAAACTTGTGCGACTGCTTGAAACGAATTTTTCTTTGAGTGGTATGCTTTGGAAAGTCATTCAAGAATATTTTTGTAAAGAAAATACGATATATTATTGTAATTGCATATTTAGAACGGCATGCGTGATTCAAGAAAATTTATGATGGCTTTCGCACTTGTTTCTACATGCATTACCAAAAATACTAACTGTTATATTTTATAAAAGAAAACATTTTAAGCATACGTTAACTCCTTTTTTTTTGTACAATATTTTTATGTAATTTAAAGAAGCGTTAGAGATTATGCATGTGAATCAAAGCAAAGATATATATGAGTATATAAATATTTTAATATATCACACAGAATAGACACTGTCGGAAATATTCGTAGAACACACAATTATACCTGTAAAAACGCCACGGCAGATATAGTCGACTCCACACAAAAGTGATTTAAGAAAATAAAATTGGTATTGTTTATATTGTGTAATGTTATGTAGTTTTATGGCAACTCAACTGTTGTATAAGTGAAATACTCTAATTTTTGGGTCAATCAATGTGATTCTATATATAAACCTATAAATATCTACTATATATTTCCAGTGATATCATGTCTGAAATTGAATATTGAATGTTAAATTTTTGAACAGAAATTAAAATCTATTGATATTTATTTGCAGAATAGTATGGGCTGACATACGTAAATGTTTTAAAAGATAATAAAAAATCAAAGATTAATAATTGTTTATGACTTAATATTCTAATTTGAACATAGAATTTACTTGAAATTAGTTTTAGACATTCATCATAATTTTTTTTTAATAAATACAATAGTTGATAAGAAATTTTAATTGAAACGTTTACGTACGTTAGGCTTTTTTATTGAATGATTACCTTTGTTTTGTATTGTGTAAAACTCGCGATCGTTTACTAGTTGTTTTCTAAATATTTTATGACTGTATTATACAACCGTTACCAATGTAAGATGTTATCATGAAAATAATTTTATTAATGATTCAAAAACATAAATTTTGAATTATTCATAGTTTTTTTTTATCACTTCCGTATACGTAACTGATAGGAACGAAAGAATATTTTTGTGAAAAAAAGACAGTTGCCAAGCTGCCGCATAGGTCATAAAAATATAAACATTCATTAAGTTCAATGCTTTTTCGAAAACCAGTGAAGAGATCTCTGTGATACTTTGCAAAGATTAGTTGTTTTGTAATTTTTAGCCCGATCATAATTTTATTAAATAAATGTTATGTATGCAGCAACGATTTTTGTTAAATCTATATATACATACTATATATAAATAATTGTAAGAATATTTTACATACATATATTTTACATTAAAATTTTTGTACATATTGTTAATTTAATAACGAGCTTTACAGAGTTTTATCATTTGTTATAGTTTTATATTCTTATTTAAATTATCTTATAAACTTTTAGAATATCATCTTGATCTTTTGTACAGTTTGTTAAAAATAATTAAATTTATGATGTCTTTGCTGGTTTCTGCTGATCATATTTAAAAGAAATACTATGATTGCACAGTCAATTATTAAATGCAAGGAAACCCAGATATAAAAAAACATTATTCATAAATTTTCTAGAAGTATTATTTTGGACAAAGAAAAATAAATTGATTCAGATCGAGTATTCATATAAACAAATCATATTTTTTGTACATAACAGAAGATTTACAAAATAACTATGATAATAGATGTCTGCACTATAATGCCTTATGTGAATTTTTAAATGTAGTTGATAATACATATATGTATACATATATACAATTTGTAGAATGCATACATATATGATATATTTAATTAAATGTGTTGTTATATAAAAATATAATATAAAGAAAATATGGGTTTATAGTTTATATTTGTTCACTAACTTCTTAAGTTCATAATAAAAATATTTTAGTGTTACATATTATGTGTTATATATATATTTTAAACATAATATTCAAAATATAACACGAGTCTTTTATTTATATTTAATTTCTGTATGTTCAAATAGAACTTAAAAAAAATTAGGCAGTGCTAACTCATCTTAAATTTTGAGGAACAAGTAATTTTTTATTTGCTTTCTTAACTTATTTTTGCATATTTCAGGAATATCATGTTTTTTGTATGATGCTATAAGATTTTGTGAAGTAAATAGACAGAGAAAAAATTTGAAAGAAATGTAATTCGCCGAAAACTGGACCTTGAGTAGACCTACATCGACTCATCAGAATTTTAGGACGTAGAAGACCACATGTCCATGTTTACCGTTGATGACACCGTTGATGTGTAAACGGCAATTTCCTTGACGCATGTTGCGGTATTTCAATTAACACACGAGGTAATAATGCATGATAGATCGAATCATATAGCAAAAATCAATATCAAAGTTAAACAAATTCTTTGTGTGCACTTTAAACTATAGCTAGTAGGGCGGTAGTTTGTTCTTTCTGGTTTTCGTGGCGTTTTCTTTGTTCGTTCTTGTCTATTTTTACATCCTGCGCGCTAATGGATTTTTTGCCCTATATCTCTAAAGAAACATTTCTCCGCAGAATCGGAATTACAGGGAAACTTTTATTACGCGAATCGTTTCCTTATACGTATTTCTAAACAAAATCGTTCTTTTTTGCTAATTTTGTTACTTTATGTTCGTTTTAAGAAAATACTTATAATCGATTTAATGATTGCTATATATCGTATATAAATTATTGCACTCCACCATATTATTTATTTGTATAATTAATAATTAAATTTTTGGTAAAATAATTACAATTTATTAAACACAGTTTTGCTCGATATTTGACAAAAATGACTTTTTAATATTTTTTCTAGCTTTAGGCAGTGTTTCAATAATTATTTCTATTACAATTATTATTATTAATTAGCATTATTTCAATAAAAATAATTTGTGTTTCTATTATACATATATTATTGTATTTTCAATATTTAGGATTAGGTTGCCAAAGTCGTATTAGTTAAGAAATAATGCTATATATAGGATAGGGTAATTAAAATAAAATAAAGTTTTAAGCATTTATTGAATCTCAAGGCATTTTGGTTGCCTTATGATTAATAGTGAGTGAGATTTTAATTTATTAAATTAAAATAGGTACTACGATACGTTACGTATCGAATTTTAAAAAAATATGCAAAATTTTTCACAAAAAATTAGCTATTTAATTATTTCTGTTT